TGTGGTGCTGGGGGATTGAACCGCGGTCCCTGATGCTTTTGCTAAGCTTGTTCTAAGTAGGTGCTTTAGACCACTGAGCCATCTCTCCAGCCCTTCCCAGGTTTTTAAAATGTTAACTTATATCCACATTTGGTTCAGAATTGTTTTGATAAAATTAAACATTATAGTTAACAATTTTAGCCTCCCTACCAGTGTCCCTGCTCAGTTACAGAAAACAAAAACAATTCTAGCTATTATAGGCAGAAAGGCTTTTTTTTTTCTTCAGTACCAGGGATTGAACTCAGGACCCTGTGCTTGCCAGGCAAGTGCTTATTCTACTGAGCTATCTCCCTGGCCCAAGACAGACTTTTAATATAGAGAACTGTGTACGTAGAGAATTCCTGGAAGTTTGAGGCTCAACCTCTAGACTAGGCTTCAGGGACTGGTCCTAGAAGAAGCCCACAGAATAGCATCACCAAAGAGACTGCCTCCTGTGGCACACTCAGGAAGCTGAGGAATCAGAGAGCTGACGCTGCTGCAGCCACTGCAGCTGGTGGATTCACTCTGTGCCTGCTAGACTCACAATGGCAAAAGATGGACACCCATGCCTTGCCGTTGACATTTGGGAATCTGTTAATATGATACTCCGATGCTTTGGAGGAAAATTTAGCACCTCATGACTACGTGCAATGTAAGAAGTATAAGAAGTATGGTTTTCATTTCCTCCTTCTTTCCAAACCTTAGGCAAGTGCGTCTGATTGTTCATCCTCAGAATGCTCATGGGAATTCTGACAAAATACTAACAAAGATACATTGTGGTAGTGTGATGGAAATTTCTTTTAAGACTTCTTTTAAATCAGATTTTAATTTATATAACAACATAAGAACTTTTAAATGTACATGGCCTTTTCCTGTTTTCACACATGATTAAATGTTATCTATCATGAGCTAAAAGTCTCATCTTCTTAATCTGAATGCCTACAACATCAAGCTACATCATTCGTCATTCTTCTTTGTTTGTTGATGACCTTGCCTGCCCTATGCCTTATTTTTCCAATTAGACAGTTCTTGAATACAGAAATCAAATCCTACTTCTTTCTTCGACCCCTCACACAAGTCCTTACATATGGCAGCCAGCTGAATTGCTTGCTGACAGAAACTCCATGGAACATCCCTCTTTCTTTTCTGTCAGATAGGAAATGGAGGGAGAGGGGAGAGCTCTTGTACTAGTATCTCCCCATGATTTGAAAAGATATTCTGCCTCCAAAGTATGTGTTTGTAAATAATAAAAATTTACTGTACATATTTTCCTTTCCAGGGACCAGCAGCACTACCAGCCACCTAATGGGACTGGTGTTCCCGAAGAGTCCTCACAACATCCCGCAGAGCTGAGACCACAGGCTCCCCAGGCTCTGGCCCCAGTTGCTGTGCCTAGACCCCCTAGTAACCCATTACCCCGAGGAACTCTAAAAACTAGCAATTTGCCAGAAGAATTGCGTAAGTCTGCAATGCAGTTTTCTTCTTCTTCTGACAGGTTTTGTACTTTAAGAACACTTCTTGATCATTCATATATATCCTCAGATATTTCTCACATACATAACAAAGGAAGATTTACTGTTCTGCTTTTGCTTGAAAAGTAACCAGCATTTTGTTGACTGTTTTTAGCAATTCTGACACCACCAGTAATATCACAAACTGCTTAGCAATGGATTTTCTTCAACACATACTTCTGCAACAAATAACCCCAATGCCTTTTTCCTTTGCTAAATGATGCTCCTGAGTGGACTTGTCCCTGGGTAAATTGATTGGATGCCCATGTGGCTCTGGACAGAAACCTAGTGTCTCACCATAAATTAGCAGCAGCTATCAACAGCAAGATCATTTCCTGTAGGAATGAGCAATCTTGTTTGGAAAAACACGGTCTCACATTCCCCATACTGCTTCATGACCAAATGCAAACTAAGCCTTTTATTTAAAGAAACATTCAATTAAGTGTCAGGTGATGATTCCTTTTCCATATTTTGCTGCCAGAAACAGAAATGTTGAAATATCACCAAAATGTTCTCAGAATAAGGTCAGTCAGAAAGTTAGCTCCAGAAATCTTAAGAAAACAGCCTCTATTTGTGAATTTATTATCCATTCCGCTTCCTAGAGAAGCTCAGGTAATTCTAATAATCTCTTTCCAAATTCGGGAAAGTAGAAGCCAAGATTGCTGTGAAGACCTTTGAATCTGCTAATTCCTTATGGGTGATCTATGCTCTTTCATTACTTAGAACTCCGGAAGATTTGTGAGACAGTGATCCATTGTTAATTATTTAAATTTTTTTTCAGAACATTGTAATCTTATACAGTTCACTTTGAGCTTTTCTGTCATGCATGGAAAAGTCTCAGTGTCAGTCTATAGGGCATATCTATCTTATCATAATCTATAAAAGGAGCATAAACTTACTTTCATAGGAACTGGATGAATAGCAGGTATTGAAAAAAAAAATAAATTGAGTGCCATCAATGTGTCTGGCTGCTTCATTGAGTTAATATGGCCATTATATACTCTTTTGTTTGAGAGATTTGTTTTTAGAAATAGGGATCTGGGCCGGCCACATAGCTCAGCAGATTAAAGTGCCTGCAGGGGTCTGGGGTTTGATCCCCAGCCTGCTGTGCCGGTCCTGCCCCCACAGCACACTGAGATGGCAGTTGAGACTGGGCGTGGTAGCGCTCCTGTAATCCCAGCTCTTGGGGGCTGTAAACAGGTGGATCACTACGAGTCCGATCTAGTAGTGAGACCCTGAACACCCTGTAGACCTTTCCCTAAAATACAAAAAACAAAAAACAAAACAAAACAAAACAAAACAAAAACAAACAAACAAAAAAACCCAGGGATCTAAGCCTAGATTAATACATTCAAATTCATATTTTCTCTTCTGCCCTTTTCTCTCTCCTGAGGAGGTCCTTGAGATTGCCACACTAAAAGCCAGCATATAGAGATCCTTTATCTCTCACATTAAAACGCTGGCCAGATAACTTCCCCAAAGGCTTTAGCCTGAGAAAACACTGCTTCTTATCCTGGCTGGGGCAAGCTTGTCCCAACAGCATGTCTAGTGCTTGAGCTGGCCTAGGCATGAGAGAAGAGTCTATGAGTTGGACTGCCTTGAGGTGGTCTCTTTCCTTGAAGCTTCTGTCTCTCTGAAGCTACTGAAGTTTTACCAACATTTCTGAGCTGTGTTACTTCGCTCCAACTTCCTGGTCTTTCTCCAAAAGTGAGTAGGTTGGGGAAAGAAACTGCTTTCTCACTGTCCCCCCACTCATTTGGCAAGAGTTCAGGGCAGCAGAGAGTATCATGAGATCAAAAGAGAGCACCACTGGGAGGCCCCTTAGCAACCTTTTGCTTCCTGGCCTGCTGGGAGAGTATTTTCCTTGGGCACTGTGCCAGATGTCTTTAAGAAAGCAATCTGTGGCTTAAGCTTAAGGACCACAAGTTCTCGGCAGTGGGTTTTTAGTTTTGTTGTTGTTAATACTTCATGTGGTTTCTCAGACCACCGAGGCTTGTCTCCTCTCATTGCTTCCCTCTGCTCCTTTCACTCTGAGCAGTCTGCACTCCCTGGCATATGTCAGAGCCCCTTGGCTTGAGGAGCTGTGCCCTGAAGACAGCAGTCACCACTGTACATATCTGCCCTTGTACCACCTCAGCCCTTTCAACTCCAGATGGATAAAGGACATTGCATAGGATTTAGAAGTATTGTGTAGACTAAGATAATTCAACTGTTTTTAAATAAATGTGAAATTTTTCTCTTAGGCAAAGTCTTCATCACTTATTCTATGGACACAGCTATGGAGGTGGTGAAATTTGTGAACTTTTTGTTGATAAATGGCTTCCAAACTGCAGTAAGTATTTTTTTTTTTCAAAAGAGAAAACAGAACAGTTGAAGCAAAGGATAAGGAGGGGCTGGGGAGATGGCTCAGTGGAATAAGTGCTTCCCCGGCAAGCACAAAGGTCTGAGTTCAATCCCCGGTTCCGCAAAAAATAAAAAAAATAAAAAAATAAATAAAGGATAAGGAAAACTTAAGACAAAGGAGAAATAGTTGATGTTTCATAGACTTACATGATTCTGAATTAAATATTTATGGCTTTAGGTAATTATCTTCTAGCTTTTAAACTATCCAAAGTCTCCAGCATTTTTACCCCATATGCTTTTTGTATGCTCCCGAGAACTGCCAAGCAACAAGAATGGTGCTAATGTTGACCAAAAAGACAGCTGGCCCTGGCCTGAAGGAAAAGTCAGGCTCTGGCTATACTTTGTCCCTTTGTCCCTTCTCCCCAGTTGTGCGTCCTGTGGTGCAGGAGGCTGCAGACCACCCCACAGTCACCTGCTTGTTTAACAAGGTCCTTTCATTCTGCACTGGATGTGAGCTTTGAAGTAGAACTCTGGCAACCTGGTCCTCCAGTGCACAAAGCTGCCCTTTTGTACCTTGATCTAAGGGAAGCAGAACTAATCCAGTGCTGTAGGTCCACTGTGGTCTTGGCCCCAGAAATCTCAAGCTCTCACTTCTCCTGTCCCCAGAATATGTACAGCTTGAAGCCATGTAAGTTTTTATTTAGAATAAATAAAATACCACAGGACACTACTCAGAAGGCTGGCTTTCCTCAAACATTGAGATTACTTTTTTTCCCTCCCAGAGGCCTCTTCTAGGTATTTACTGAAAGTGAATTCTAGTGAGTGGGGAAAAATTCATGGTGAATGAATTAAGTATGCTAAAGAATAAAGAGCAAAAACAGATGCAAAAGAGTTTACTTAGCATTGTTTTAACAATTTTTATTTGAAGTTTTCTTTATTCTATAATATTTTTTCTTTAATGAGGATGTCAGAAAGTTTTAAAATATGCCTATAATTTAAACAACCTAGCTACAAGACTACACAGAGTCTAAGATTTTACCATGTCATTTCTGGAGTAAGAAAGTACTATGGTAAGGGTGACATAAAATCAATGCATAAGACACAAGGCCAACATTTCCACAGAGATTTTACCTTTCATCTTTTTCAAATATACTGGTTGCCACTGGAGAAGAGCCCCACTTTTTTAATCAGGGGCTATTTTGGCAGAATTTAAATCTGTCTTAACCCTCACTCTATGAAGCTTTGAGGTAGACTCACAGAGCCCTGTCCTGTATAGTTAAGTTAGTATTGATGTGTCAGATCTTCTGTCCCCTATGGATACATCAAGTGGAATGGATTCCTTCACTTGGAGTTTGAGGCAAGTTTAATAAAGGTACTATTACCAAGCCCCGAGACAGTAAATGAAAGAATGTTATAATGTGGTACTTGTATAGAACACTAGTGATCATAGTGGGGGAATAGTTTGGTGACATGAAGAGAAGGAGGTTAATGTAGGGGAAGAAATCACAGGGCAGGGGGTTTGTACTGTGTTTTTATTTTTTAAAATTTATTTTATTTATTTGTGTGTGTGTGTGTGTGTGTGTGTGTGTGTGTAGCCAGCTCAGCCCACCTGGGGGCGGGGTTGGCTGGCATGTGGTGCTGGGGGATTGAACCGCTGTCCCTGTGCTTTGCTGAGCTTGTTCTAAGTAGGTGCTTTAGACCACTGAGCCATCTCACCAGCCCTGTACAGTGTTTTTAGCATGCAGGGGACACCAATAAGGGGAGTACAAGAGATAGATCACATGGGATTAAGAAGTAGGAAGCTTGATGATGGCTGGGACTTGTCCTGGCCAGTCTTAAATGACAAAGTGACATTCAGGACAGTTAATCTGGGAGCAGCATTGCTGAATCAAGTAACCCTTTCTCCGAGTCACCCAGTATATAATAATCCCTGTTAATCAGGAGTCCCTTGTACACACACACACACACACACACACACACACACACACACATACTCCTCACTACCAGTCTAAGCCTAAAAAAGGCTTTCCTATTTGGTCTTCTGTAAAACAGAAAATAACTGATTAGAGTTTTAATTTCTTTGAATTGCCCTTCAAAGACTTGAAGACTGATACTACATACAAGTCTTATTAAGAGCTTGTATGTAGTATCAAGTACCCAAGAGCTCTTCTTACTTCCATCATAAACCTTTTCACTACTGTTTTAATGATTGTTTTGGCTACTGTTCCTTGCTTTGGCTCCAATTTTCATACACTGCTTTTGAAATGTATAGACTGAAACTGGACATAACAACATAATAATGACCTGAATATTGCAAATAAAACACCACAGTTGTGTCTCAGAACTTGTACAGCACACATACAGAATTGCATAATTATGTTTGTTTTTCAAACTTTCAAATTTCAGATATCTATAAATATAATGTACCTGGCTTACATCCAATTTGGTAGTATACTGTGTCCCTCAGGCCTTTAAAAACATTTTTATACAGCCACAGATCCATTCCATATGAACCGCTGTATTCTAATTATAGATATTAAATACTTAAATGCCTACTAATGTTGAAATAGGCAATATTTTATGAAAATTCTGTTTTGATTTTTGAATTTATGTGCTCTGCCTTGAAAAAAGCACTAGTAACTTTTTTTTTTTTTTTTTTTTGGTGGAACTGGGGGTTAAACTCAGGCCCTTGGCTTGCCAGGCAAATGCTTATTCTACTGAGCTATCTCCCCAGCCCCACTAGTAACTTTTTGAGTTGTAAACATATATAGCCTCTTGTGTGTTTTCAGCCTCTGCATCCAGAGCAAATGTCTCATTAAGAGCCAATTCCCACATCTTTTTCTTGTAGATTGATATATTTGAGGACAGAATCCGAGGCATTGATATCATTAAGTGGATGGAGCGCTACCTTCGGGATGTAAGTGTATTCCAAAATTCTGAGCATATTTTCTGGGAAGAAAGACAATTAGCTTGTGAAGCTATTTTATGGAAGAAACCCTGGCATACCCACCCTAGTCTGAAGCTGAGAAAGTCTGAACAAAGCCTGTGTTGTTGGAAGCTGTGCAGAGACTTGGAAAGGAAGGATGGGGTCACCCTCCTGGACATGCCCAGGCAGGAAATAACGGTCAAACCAGACACAGGTGGTTGATAACAATCAGAGCAAACAATTTCTAGATCAGAATAGGAAAGGAGGAAATGAAGGCAGGGAGTGGAGAGGGAGCAGCAGAATTCAATTGAATCTGAGGTCACCCCAAGTGTTTTGTAGAACTGCTCTGAAGAGGCTTCCCAGGCAGCCTCGCAGGCTACATAGCATGCTACCCCTGAGGCGCCCACTCGCAGCCAGCCCCGTGATTTGTTTTCCACTGACAGAATCTATACCAGCCACTGAGACACTCTGTTCTTTAACAAGATAGAAATTGATTGTTGCCAGTGTGTCTGTGTCCTCAGCAGCTTCTTGGGCGGCAGTGGGGTGGGGTGGGGAATCTCAGCAGGCTGAGGTTTTGCAGCTTTTCCTTTTGTCTGCAGCCTGATGTTTGCTTTGTGTGGAAGGGTCTCCTCCTACTGACTGCGCTAATGCAGAGGCAGAAAGCAGGGCAGTGGAGAGTGCAGTAACTGACGGCTCAGATCCAGCTGCAGGGAGGAAGAGAAGGAGGGAGGGAGAATCTTTTCATCTTTAAGCCTGCAGTGCCTTTTCCCATAATGCAGACTAACTTAGTGATTCGGGCTGTCATTAGCCATTATTAGAGATGGCTGTAGAAAATGGTGGGCAAAAGTCTATCTGCTCAGGAGAGCTACTCTGTGAGCCATTTGCTCAGTGTGTTTGAGAGGAACTGGGCAGGGAGGCAGCAGAGAGGAGTGCAGACAAGAGAGTGCCTGAGTGGAGCCAATGCCTTCTGCTTTCCACAGAGGGGGAGCCTGGCTCCCATCCTTGAGCAGGTCAGGGGATGCTCATCGTCCTGCTGGCCTGTTTCCAGCCAGCTGTCACCAAATGGACCACACTTCCCAGTTCCATAAACACGCTTTTCTCCTTCTCATTAACAGAAAACAGTGATGATAATCGTAGCCATCAGCCCCAAATACAAACAGGATGTGGAAGGCGCTGAGTCGCAGCTGGATGAAGATGAGCACGGCTTACATACTAAGTACATTCATCGAATGGTAAGTGATGAGGGGACCACAGGACTGCCCTGCCACTTAAGGACAGGCATGTTCTGCAGAGAAGGCCAGTTCTTCACTGGAGACCAGCTGAAGGCTTGTGGGGCTGGGTGACAAATCCCAGACAGGCCTACAGTGTCAGGATGGGGGATGTAGGTTGTGGCTGTTTACTTTGGGAACCCTTGCTTAGTCATCACACCTCTGAAAGAACTCAGCATTCCCATCAGTAAAAGGGGAGAACAGTAGTCAGCCTTTAGTAGCCATGACTCTGGAGAACAGAGCTCTGATTCCCTGGCTGTTTGCTAAGAAATGTGCCATCCCAGGAGGGTGGTAGACAGAGCTCCTGTACCTGAGTCACATTCTGTTCCTTGTTGTGTGTACACACACACACACACACACGTGTGTGTGTGTGTGTGTGTGTGTGTGTGTAGTGCTGGGGATCGAACCTGGGACCTTCACACTAGGCTACATGCCCAGCTTCCCACCCCACCTTTTTTTCTTTTTATTTTGAGACAGGGCCTTTCGAAGTTGCCCAGGCTGGGGTTGAACTTGCAATCCTCCTTCCTCAGGCTTCCAGAGTGTTGGAATCAGGGATGTGTGCTCCCAAGCCCCACTGTCCCTTGCCTTTTCAGAGCAGCAGGATAATAGAGTGGAAGGGATGCTGCTGCATCAGATAGGCTTGGTTCAAATTTGGCTTCCTAATATGTGACTGTGGCCCGGCTACTTCAATCTCTCTGTGTCACTGTCTGCTTGCTCATAAAATGGGCACTACTACAGTATTGAGAAGACAAAATGAAGTATGCTTGTGAAGTATCTGACACATCTCAGGTGCTTATCAGAGGGATTGTTCTTAGCTCATGACAGGTGGGAAATGTTCCACAGTCACATCTGCACTATGAGGCCTGGTCAAACTTAAACCAGTAAGTCAAACTTAGAAGAAATGCGATTTGTTCAGTATCTGAGAACGTTCTGAGTGAACATGTCAACCAGCTTTGGAGCTGGAGCTTCATGGCAAAGAAATCTTTCTCTTCTCCATGATTTTAGAGATGCTGTGGAGCTCATTTCAGCCTAACCTGACAGCCAGGCTAGACTTGTGATTTCTGAACTGCCTTGTGGAGCTGGCTCTGGGCTTCCACCTTAACCAGGGATTATTTTCATTTCTCAAGCTTGTTTACCAAGGATTCTGAGATTTAAAAAAGGCTTGAAAATACACTGGACTGAAAGTTATAAACTCCATTTTAGCTGTGGGCGACATAAAGGGAGAGGCACCTGGAGTGAGCATAAAGAATCACTGACTAATGTGGGTATGTGGGGCAGAAAGCAACACAATGTGGGAAGCAACCAGGCAGTCTCAGGACAGGCAGCTTTACCTCAGAAGAAGTGAAGGCGAATTCCAGGTCTATCCTGTGGTTCAGGAGCACAGAAGGGTTCTCCCATTTGGGTCTTTAAGGTCTCTGTCTCTGTATTGGCCAAGTATAAACCACTCATTTGTGCTCTCCACCAACTTAAAGCAAAGGCCAAAGGAAGATGGTGAGGTTAAAAGTAAGGCCACAAGTCAGGGCAAAAATCTCTCTCCTATTCTAATGTTACCTAGCCTGATCTCTATAAGCAGGCATCAGGCGAGGTATAATTTCTAGAGGTAAACTGACCTAAAAGACAATGGCTGGCTCTGAGTGCTGCAGTCCGTTGGCTGTGCCACATCTCCCTATGGATGTCCTATCTACATTCCTAAGAACCTGCCCATCCCAGGAGCTGGTGTGTGGGGTGGGCTCCAGATCGCTACCAGCTCCTGAGGAAGCCTGTCTATCTCCGCTACTGTTGTGTGGCGAAGCCAGACAGCAATAGAATCTCAACCTCAGAACTTGACTGACTGTGCCAGCTGTAAACAGAGTCTCCAAACTTGGTTTCTTGGGTACCAATGCTGTGGACCTTTCCTCAACACAGATTTGCATTGGACAGATAACTTTCCTATCCATCTGGCTGACTTCTGGGTCCCCTCCAGCAACAGAAAGCCTGGTATGATAAAAGCTTGACCATGATAGAATGAGTGAAGAGCCACTCATGAGTAACTGTATCGTGGAACAAACATTCCACAGAAAGCTAATATCTGGAAGTATAAGAGACAGCCAAAATGAACAGTCACTGGTCCTGGTGAGCAAGCCAGGCTTCACACTACAGAGTCATAGCAGTCAGAAAGGAAACTGATCTTTCACTTTAACTGGAAGGTCCCTGCCCTTCCTCTCCTGTGTTCACTATGTTGGTGTGGTCAGGACTATTTGGTGCACAGTGCTTGGGGCATTTTATGTTTTTGGAGTAGTCTTCCAATTTTTGAAGAGAGATGGCCTTGAGAAAACACCTTGTGGCAGATTTGTGCTGTGTGTTAGTACATGAGAGTGGATGACTGTGAGGGGTTTCTATAGTTATTTCAATAACAGTTCATCATCACTGTCACTTTCTTCTGTTTTTATAACTATGTGCTATGCAGACTTCTTGGTTATAAAAATCAATAAGATGCAATGATCAGGAACACATAATTCTTCATCTCATTGTTATCAGATGACTGAAAGCTTTGTGCTGGTCTCAGGATTTGGAAGGCTCTAATTTCCCTGCTATTGAAAATTCTGATTTTTTTTTTCAAAGTTTTATTGATAAACAGATAGCAATGAGACAATTTCAAATCAAATCGGAAGTACAGTTTCAACAAATAATACACTGCATATATTCTTCTTAGTGGTTAATTGCTGTACAAGATGTGGACTTGTGATCCTATTTACAAACACCATTAGAACAAATCATTCTATTCATTAAGAGAATGCAACTATATATCTATCCCAACCACTTTGAATACACAGACACAAAATGGACATTCATCGGTATACCCCATTTTTTCTAAGTTCCGTTATTGAATATTATAGGTGTGTAAACTCAGCAAAATATTCTAAAAGAGTCCAGTAGCCCATAATAGCATTGGGTCTTCTGTTTAACTGGCAATGTCAGAAATTATTGACCTGAGTCCCCCACAGCTCAACTTAACAGCATGGCTTTATTTCTTATATAAAATTCTGATTTTGATAGAATTGTTGGCAGCTAAATCTTTTTAGGCTACCACAGTGTGAGAACAAATTGAACTTGTGTAAGAACTTTGGGTGTGGCTAACTGGCCTCTACAAAACAGTCCTCCCAGCCTCATCTCCCCACTCTCTGTCAAGCTCACCTGCTTTCCAGCTGCAGTGAATTGCTAGCTGTCCCAACAACTCTGACACACTTCCACACTTCCATACTTGCTCCCATGTCCTTTTTCTTTTCTTTCTTTCTTTTTTTTTTTTTTTTTTTTTTTTTTTATTTTAAGGAAGGGTCTATGGGGTGTACAGGGTCTCACTACAAATCGGACTCATAGTGATTTGCCTGTTTACAGCCTCCCAAGAGCTGGGATTACAGGCATGCACCACCATGTCCAGTCTCAATTGCCATCTCAGTGCCTCTGAGGGTGGGCTGGCTCGGCAAGCCTGGGGATCAAATCCCCAGATCTTGTGCCTGCTTGCAGGTGCTTTAATCTGCTGAGTTATTTAGCTGGCCCTTGTGTCCTCCATTGAGACTGTCCTTTCCACCACTCCAGCCTTCCTACTTCACCAAAATCTTTCCATATCAAAATGACCCCTTCTTTGTAGCTGTTCAGAATCCTTGATGCAGAATAGACAGTCCCATTGTCCCTTCTTTTCACACTGCCTTCTGGTTGGTAATTTTCTTTTCTGTCTGCTTTGGGAAGATAGGGATGGCATCAGTTCTATTTTGCTAAACTAGCTCTCAAAAAAAAAATCTGAATTTGAAGCACTTACCCATTTCCATGGTATAAATATTCTTACCATGGGAAATTTTAAGCTACTAATATAACATGAAGTTACTGAGCACAAAAAATGGGAAGATATGCACACAACTGGCTCCGATGAGCTGTTGCAAGGCGTTCACCAGCACACTTGGGAACATGCCCTGAAAATCCAGTCTAGTACAGAATGTGACTTTTAAGAAATGATAGATAAATGAATGCAAGGCACAGTGTGTGGTGAAACAAACTTGAAGTTCTAAGTACCTGGGCTATCCTATAAGGTAATCAGAATGGTGTGTGGGCCTGCCTTTACCATGAGTACAACTAACTCCTCATTCCTGAAGTTAAGCCTTCATATTTGTTTGATTTCAGATGCAGATTGAGTTCATAAAACAAGGAAGCATGAATTTCAGATTCATCCCTGTGCTCTTCCCAAATGCCAAGAAGGTAAACAACCAACCAAGGAAAAAGCCTTACAGTTTAGCCTTTGGTTTGTTTGCCACTGGAGTTTTAAGAGGAAAACCCTGTCAACTTTCTGCCAATCCTTAGAGATAGCAGTGTTAGCAGAATGACCAACAAGTTTAGCACTCAGTTGAGTAGCACGAATCAGAAAGATTTGAAAGCATTATCTGATAGGATTCTGGCTCTCTAACTGTTCACAACATACAAAGGAGTTTGTGTTTTAACTCATGAGATAATAAGAGACCATTTATTGATACTTCTATTGCTTGCACATACAGTGAAGACATGGACATTACTGCCGCTTGTTCCCCATCAAAGCTGTAGACCACAGGGAATAAATCTGCACAGTCACTTACATGAGCTCTGTTATGGTCCATATCAGGTTCTAAAGTCAGGCTCACTAATTGGGGCATTAGAGGGTGTATCCTAAGCCTAGAAATGGAAAGGCAAAGGGGCTGGGGAGATGGTTCAGTGGAATAAGCACTTGCCTTGCAAGCTTAAAGGTCTGAGTTCAATCCCCAGTTCCACCAAAAAAAAAAAAAAAAA